CAGCCCCCTAGGGGGTCAGGCTCATATTTTTTTTACCTGCAGACCCCCTCCCCCTAACAAGGATTTCTGTCAAATATGAACAACTTCCATTCAAAACATTGGAAGATATGGCCTATTATGTTTATTTCCTATACAAACTATACTAAACTTCACCTCCTCCCCAGGAACAAACGGCGGCGGGGGGCTAGGACACATGAAAATCACAATTTTTATAAACCACCCAAAGGCCTTTACAACTATGAGTAGTATTTTGGTTTAAGCATTTCTGGAAAATTGAGAAGATTTTTGAAATTTTCCCAAATTTCTCCCCTTTTTGGCCCCTTACAGGGCCACACTCTCATAAATCCATTGAGCCCCTGGTCCCAAGGATGATTCATATCAAATTTAGTTAAAATCCAATCAGTCGTTCAGGAGATAAAGGCTTTTAAAGGGAAAAGTTGACGCCAGACGCCTGGGTATGGCAGCTAAAAACCTGTATGGCACTCTTGCCAGGTTTCTATTCTGTCAGTTCTTAAGAGGAAGGTGTTTTATTTTGAAAATTTGACAATTGGAATTTAAATACAGGTACTTTGAATGAAAACAATGACAAATTCATTACAAATGAATGAACATACAATATTTTTTATTCATCTCTCATTGCCTTTACATTTATTTGTACATAAAATATATTTTCAGTGTTTTCACACATTTTATCAATGTGTAAATTAACAATTATTTTTTTACATAATTACACAACTTGTCATCCAATTGTAAGATATTTTAATATTTTGCCTGCATGAAAATGTTGTCAACTTTTATATGGGTCACTCACAACCTCAAATTGAAAAAAAATACCTACCTAACTTTATTCTTTTCACAAAGAAACAAATATTGGTCGGTTGGAAAAGATTGACATAACAAAAAAGTCTCGTCTAAATCTAGTTTCAATTTCCCTCAACAAAGCAGTTTTCTTTATGCAGATGATCATGATATAATCAATACTCAAATATGCATAACAAACAAGAGGTCCAAAAGGCCTGCGTCACTCATCTGGACAATTAATATATAGCACCCAAACTCCTGATGCCAAGGTTTTTAAGATCATGATGTTTGAATTTGTTTTTTTAATATTTGACCTTGAAAATATGTCAAGTTTATCTATAAGGAAAATTTTTGGTTATCCATCCCAGGTACAGTAGCTATGATGAACCATATATCATGACTCTGGGTTTTTCAGTTTTGAAGAAGATGCTGGATGCTCATACAGGTATTTTGAATGAAAACAATGACAAATTCATTACATATGAAGATACATTTTTTTTTTATTCATTTCTCATTGCCATAACATTAACTTGTACATAAAATATATTTTCAATATTTTCACACATTTTATCAATGTGCAAATTAACAATTTTTTGTCACCATGCCATAATTTCACAAGTTCTGTGTGATTTAAAATTTGGAATAAATTTATCACTGCAACTACGTCCCTAAATCAAATAGATTTATCTCTCCTTTCTGTACTTTGGTGTATTTTCATGTATTTACGGACCTAACTGTTTCCTAAATATCAGATTCTACATAGAAAAAGGTCATACTGAAGTAGCTGGATTATAGCAAGTGTTATTTGAGCTTTACCCCATTCACCCCTGAAGACACATTTGAACTCGCACAATTCAAAGATTGGAATAGTTCATTATGAAAATTCAGGGGTGAATGAGTTAATGCTAATCAGTAACAGGACGACTTCAGAGACAAGTGTTTCACACTTAGAAAGTAGAGATCAATCCCGATTTCAGTCCATAATTTTATGTCCCACGACTCCATAAAAAGCGGAAATCGGTAAGATTATGCCTCACACTGCAAGATATGACATGCATAAATGTTTTCTGTTTTTAGCTTTATTAACATTTTTTGTAGAAATCAAAATGATGGTGAACAGTGTAATCTTGAAAGTTAATATTGTAACAAAACAATCTGTTTTCATTTCTTTTTCAACGTTTTTTTTTCCTTATCTGAACTTTGTCAGAGACCAATACAGAGCGTGTACCAACAAACTCTTGTGTGACATTATAATAAACTCATTCCCCCATGAAAATTCATAATGAACTATTCCAACCTTTGAATTGGAAGGGTTCAAATGTGTCTTCAGGGGTGAATGAGTTAAAATACCAGTGTTTCTTTGTACAGTTGCACAAAACAAATCTTGCGAGAACATTTTAATAAATACACATTCAAACAAAGATCTGAATGGAAAACTTGAAGCTTTCCACTCTGAACAAAACAAAATTTCAATGAAGACATAAACAGGATAAATGCACAGATTAAAGGCTTACAAGTAACATAAACAAAGGTGTTCTCAGTCATCAAAACGAAACCAAAAGCTCCAGTAAATAATTTTACAAATATAATAAGATGAGCACTAATAAATTACCTCTGGCAATGATTCAGCTGTGTTTTTTATCAACATATATTACAAATTGGATATAATGCCCCTAGTTCCATATCGCAAAACCCATTTATAATTTTGGAAATTTGGAAAAAATTTGTCGGTATAGCGAGGCTTTCCTGTACGTGTCAATTGTCAAAGTAAACTTGAAATGATCAAATTAAAGTTTTTTTTATTTGATGTAACATAAATTTTTGACAAATCATTTACGTAACTCATTCACTCCTGAAACCATATTAGAACTCTTCCATGTCAAAGACTGGAATAGCTAATTTCAAAATGTTAGGGCCAGATTAAATGAACCTCACTTTAAGGTATTGTGACCCATCTACTCTCACTGTGTGTGGTTGTTTTTTTAGGTTGCTATATTTAATCTTTATTTTTTCATAAAAGTTCTGCAAATTATAGGTTTCTTTTCAGAAATAATTTATCAAAGATATAATCCTGCATGATAAAAAGTTTCCCATTCGTAGCTGCAGTTTTTGGCAGTGTCCAAGGATCCTGAACTCATTCACCCCTGAAATTTCATAATGAACTATATCATCCTTTGAATTGGAAGAGTTCAAATGTATCTTCAGGGGTGAATGAGTTAAGCAGTGTAACATTACTTAACTTAGATATATATAACTCATTTGCTACATAATAAATATCCAGTAATACCTGTAAAACACTTACTTTGTAGATTTGGTTTGGCATGTTTTCTGTTTTATGTCCTTTTAATAGCTATGGCCATTTAACCCTTTCACCACTGTAGACTGTGATGGACTCATCCATATCAATGCATGGTAGAGTCTACGAAAGTTACACAGGGGTGAAAGGGTTAAGGATGTGCCAGGTTTTGGTGGAGGAAAGCCAGAGTGCCGGAGAAAACCACCAATCTGTGGCCAGTACCTTGCGACTGTCCCTTGTAGGCCTCAGACCCGGGACACAGTGTACTAGTGATTGTAGATGGTCAGACGCCTTAACCACTAGGCCACCGCCACCTTGCTCCCCTTCTAGACCTTGGGTATTAAAGTACCAACAGTGTTAAGTATGTCAACTGGTAAAACTACCAACATGAAAAAGAATGGTAAAACTACTGAATTGAAAAAGTTCAACCAATTTGAAAACATATTTTTCAATTTGCAATTTTCTAGTACATACAGTTTAAAAAGCTTAATGTCTCAATTTTCAAGAAGTCTTAAAACTACAACAGAGTTTAATATTATGTACGACTTAACTGATGTAATTTGAAGTTCAGTCTGAATTATGATCACTCTTGGTCCCAAAAAGCCTTGTAAATACACATGAAAAAATAATGTTTAGCAAAACACTTTGATCAAACAAGTCCAGATTTATCATGTTTCATCAGAACTGGGAAAAGTAAAAAGCGGACATTTATTTTTTCAGTGTGAACATATGCACACCTGAACATAATGACACTGTATGAAATATATAATAACAATAGCATTGCCAATTCAAAAAGTCTACACCAAAAAAATCTGAAGGGTCATAACATGAAAATATCCAAAGCATAACAGTTCCCCTCTTTTACAGTTATTAAGGGTACTTTCTGTTTGTGGGTGGAATGGTCCCAAACCTATAGTCTTTTTTCACTTTGGAGTAAATCCAACATCATCTACAAAAACCTATGTCGACAAATCAAACTTTGAACTAAGTCTGTCAAACAAAAGTCAAAAGTCAGATGGGGAGACAACTCCAGCAGCACCATTACGACTAGACCGAGTTAATATTATCAACATGTATCGACATGAAAGCTGAATGTTTTTTTTATTTATCATCTGAGACACAAGTATTGGCTGCCGTACTCCAACCAATTTTATTCCTTAAGGATTTAAGCTACCTTACATCTGTAATTTGTAGAGTTATTTCTTCTTATAACCTGAAACAATATTTTTTGGTGAATTGTAACTTAGACTAGAATTATTACGGTAACAAGAGGCCCATGGGTCTAAACGGTCACCTGAGTCCTACAGTATTTAATTTTGTTGAAGAAATATGTACCAATTTGAGTACAAAATAGTTAAGTATAACGTTAACTTAAGTTTGTCAGGACCCTGAGCTGATCATTCCTAGACCAAGTTTCAGTTAAATCGGCCTATTAGAACTTGTTTTTAAGTTTGAAATAGTTTTTTCAAAATGGCGGCCGTGTCGGCCATATTGGATTTCTGATCAACCCGAAAAATAACAACACTTTGTCAGGATCATGATTCGATCATTCCTACAAAGTTTCAGTTCAATCAGCCCAGCAAAACTTGACTTTAAGTTTGAAATAGTTTTTTTAAAATGGCGGCCGTGTCAGCCATATTGGATTTCTGATCGACCAGAAAAATAACAACACTTTGTCAGGACCATAAGTCAATCATTTCTACAAAGTTTCAGTTCAATCGGCCCAGTAGAACTTGACTTTAAGTTTGAAATAGTTTTTCAAAATGGCGGTCGTGGCGGCCATATTGGATTTCTGATCGATCAGAAAAATAACAACACTTGGTCAGGGAAATGTCAGTAACCTTCCCATGAGATATTAATGAAATCCCTTTGCCAGTATTTCAGCTTAAGTTGAAAATGTTAAAGGACGACGGACAAAGACGGATAGCAATAGGTCACTTGAGCTAAAGCTCAGGTGACCTAAAAATTAACAAAACTAAAAGGTGCACAAGAACGTATGCATTGAAACACTAATAAATTCCACTAATGTTACATTATGTATGTAAGGTAGATAACTCTAGCATAAATCCAATTTAGAGTAAGGTAGCATATATCCTTAACTTTTAAGTTAATAACTATGGAAATGATGCTACAATACACTAAAAATCTTGTGTCCTTAAACAATGAGGATGCATTTAAGAGTGGTATTTCACTAGAATGACTGAATCAATTGAATAAAATATCAGAAATCTGCAAATGACGTATAGAAACAAATCTTGTTTACGACACTATTCATAATTAACATTAATTCCTCCAAATATATTACCCATCTATTGATTAACAAGCAATGCCATTTGCCATCCATACCAATATGTACCTTGTTAAGATTTTCTAGAAAAAAAGCCTAAATGCTAAAGCTATAATTTCAATTGATAACATATGACTGTTTGTAAAATTAGAATATAAATAATGTCAAAAAATTGATTTCGAAAATACAATGTGTTTTCTTATGATGTTATTGACAAGACTATTAAGTTTAAATCACCTTGTCAGAGTCAAGTCAGAATCTTGACACCGGTTTATGAAACTACATTTCACAGTTTTGAATGTGCAATCAATACCAGTAGTGACGTGCTTCCTGGATTTCTTTATCCATAATTGTACCAACCATTGATCTCTTTACAGGTTTGGAATAAACAGTATTGAACTTGTGATAGGGGAAAAAAACCAAATACAGATTACAAAAAAAATAAAATCCTCAGGAACCTTTAGAGGATAAAATTGTTTATTCTCAATTCAACAACATAATTTACCCATAGCTTCATTTGAACATTTGAACATGTGAATGGGTAACATCTCTGAACAATGACATAAAAAACAAAAAACTGGTACAAAAATTCTAATCCAACAATGACAGAGCCTTAAGATTGATCAGACCCTTTCACCCCTAGATAACTTTAGTAGACTCTACCATGCATTTGTTGGGATGAGTCCATTATGGTCTACAGTGGTGTAAAGGTTAAAAGAACATGCAAAGATGTAAAAAATTTCAACTGCAGTTTTTATAAAGCCAGCTTACTGAACAAACTGGTTGGATAAGGAAAATAAATTAAGACATTAACTTTTATCATGCGCATGAACTGGAAATTTTACGTTGGATTTTTAACATTATGAACTTCAAATTTTACTATAAAAGTAGCCTTCAATTATACCATAATCGTACCAGTAACTTTAAACTGAATTATAACCTTCAACTTTTACAATAATCGTAACTTTCGACTTTTCTTTTTCATGTGTCACAAAGTGTACAAGATATCAATATAAATCAAACCTAGCCTCCGTTTCATCTCTCAAACTTTTAAATAACAGCTATTCAGCTGAACCCCTCTGTACAGTGATGGCTACATGTACCACAAGAAACAAAAGAAAAAATCAGATCGAAAATCCCACAGCAATTGCTTTTATCGTCAGCTGAACTATTCCGCCATTTAACATCAGACTGATTCATAACCTGAACACAATTTTCACAACATTGACAGAAATTTCTTACAATGATGAAACCATTCTCTCAAATGACAAAACTTACAAAAAACTCTTTTAACCATAGATCTGCATTGTCATAAAATACTCTGTAATAACGACAAATATTTTATGAACGTGAGATTTACCTCTCACCTATTACGTTGATTGGAATCTCACAAAAAAATCTTTTTCAAATTGAAAACATTCTTACATTCGACCGATACAAAATCATCAGGAATTTCTTTCAAAATCGTAACCTTTTTTCCCCATACGTTTCAGTAATCCAACTGGTTATCACAACATGGCCACTTTCAGAACTTTCAACAAAAAAACGTGTGAATTGTTCTTCTCTCACTGACCACATCACACGAGACGCAAAAACCTGGAATAATTTGTAAAATGTATTGCTTCTTTGCTAGGCCTCATTGTCTTGTATAAATAACATCTCCATCTTGCCTAATCCCACCTCCCCAAATGAAGGAGGTTCTGGCACTTCTTCTGTAGGCTCACATGGTAAAGTCCTCCGAGGGAAATTTGTTACTATATGAAAGTCGTCAGGACATTGTTCATGGCAAAATGCAAAATGGTACAGGTGCTGAAAACAGAAGATGAAGTGAACAGGAGCTGTCGTAGAACAGTACAGCTGTTCTATTGCCAACATTTGTGAATCTAATAAGCCATCGCTTGTGTTATAAAAAATAATAATTTTAAAACCCATGTCAGTCACTTTTTTCTGCTTTATATCATCATCACAAAAGAATTTATTTTTTATTTTTTTAGGGGCTTAAAAAAGTTACTCTGCTATAGCCCCCCTATTCTTCGACTAGACAAGCTAAAAAGGATTACATTGTTATATACAAAGTCAATGGTTAAATGTGAAAACCTTTTGCTAACAGTGTGTTTATTTACCATCAGGAGTGTACATTTCTATATTCAGAACACAATCCCACAGGTTGATTTTGATAGTTCTAGTCGCCTGTTCCATATTTTCATGGAAAATATCGAAGATTTTCACTAGCCACAACATAAATCACTTGCCACAAGTGCAGGGCGAGTGAAATTGTATACCCTAGACCTTCCGTTAATAGTGTATGTATACCTTAAGTGAGTCCGACTTGAGAAACCTCCTCTGTACGCGGTCCCCGTGTGGAAGCTTGAGTACGATCTGTACTCGATCCGGATGATCTGCAGCAGGCTCCGGAGGTATACTGTTTCTCAGATCCTCTTTTCTTAGCTCCCTCTCCTGGAATTTGTGAAAAAGACCTTATGTTTGTTCCGTGAGAGCTCCATCTTTATCAAGGAGTACTGACACAAGAAATACTGTAGGTCATTTCCGAGGAAATGATATTTCAGTGAGTCAAACAAGTGATGGAGAAAATATGTTCCGCAGAATAATACAGGCACAAATATGAGCTGCAATGATCAACTTGATAACAGTAATGTCCTGGTGAAATAGGCTGCATGTGATTATGACGATTCATAAACATAAAGAGTAAATAGGTTGTATCACACATATAGTAGTTTTGTTAATGATTTGTTTAACAAAATACACTTGTTGTGGATCAATATGCTGTGATAAAGCCTATTTATTTGACTTTTTGGCACTGTTTATACCAAAATGTCCTGTCTCCTGCTAAAACACAGCGAAATTTAGTTCCTTAGAATGTCTAGATCGTGAAATTATAATCTGTGTAAATCAAATTTCACTCAAATTTAGGATCAAAATCAGGAAAAATTTAAGCCCACGTAAATAACCCGCTATACAGTATATTGTGCAGATGAACACATCCACTTGCAGTGATTTTTGTACTGCCCCTTGCCAAAAAGTGCCTTGTTTTACCAAAATGACCCGATGATCTTGGCTGGGCACCTTTCTGGATTTTACAAAAATATTACTTCATCTTTCGAACTATGCACAGGTCATTGTAAAATTTAGCCAGAAAAACACGAACTTGTAATATCTCCGAAACCCAACTGATGAAAGAACATCACACAAAGACATACAATTAAGTTTGAAGTAAATCGATTCTGCTGATGAATTGACAAGTACTGCAATAAAACAACAAATATTACAACAGAAACGGTAAATGACAACACTTCGTAAGAGCGATTCCATAGTTCATTATGTGGGGGAGATGGGAGGCAACTGTATTAATATATTGTGGATGGTGGGGCTATAAAACCGTTCATACCTGAAATATGTTTCCATACACTAACCCATAAACAATTACACCTCATCGCCTTTACATGGCATATTATTTTACTGGGTCGGACATCACTCAACTATAAAATAAAACATTGTGTTCTCCTGTCTTACTCAAGTTCCTAGACCTGTTTCACCCATTCTTTACTGTTGTGCTACTGTTTTATTTGGTATAATGAATTACATATTACCCTTATTTGGAGGAAAATGATTATCTGTCCTCTTGAATAAGGTAATTTTCCCCAACGTCAAATTATAAGGTTTAGTAAAATAGTAGTTTTGAAGTTTCAAACAAGCCATTCGGATTGATAAATCTTGCCTGTGCCCCGCTTTGACCATCAATGCACATGTCAAGTTTTTAAAAGTTTCAGAGAAACTATTTTACTTAAATGCAAAAACTTGATGTTGATGGAGACGCTGACAAAGTCAATGGACCATGAAACTTAGGCCGCATCCAGTATTTGATGCATGGGTTGAGATTAACTACCTAAGATGCATCTATGTTCCAAGTTTGGTTGGTCTAGCACTTATACTTTCAGTGAAACTAACTTAAACGCAAAAACTGAATGTCTATGCCGCCGTTGCTGGAAAAGCAACACCTTAGTCTCGCTTCCGCCACTTCATTGCAGCGAGACAAAAACTCTTAAGTTTTGGAGAAGTTCTTGAAATTCTGAAGCTACTTTTGATGTTACCTCAAGCATTCTTTGTCGTTCCATCTCTGCATCCACCACTTTCTGTTTTTCTTGTTCCAGTTTCTCTAAATCTCCACGTCGAGTTCTCTCCTACAGAAAAAGTTTTACAAGAAAATCTTCTTCAATGTCATATTCTGTTTGTCAGATAAAAAGAAAAATGTCCTATTAAGCAAAATGATGATGATGATGATGCATGGTAGAAGATGATGTTTGTTGTAAATGATGATGTAAGATGATGATGATCATACATTGATAATATATCTAATGAGGATGATGAACACACTTGCTAGCCCTTCATCCCAGCATGTTAGTGGCCAAATTTAAGCACCCTAGGCCTCTTGGTTATTCAGAAGAAGTTGTTTAAATGTTTTGAACATATTTGACCCCTGTGACCTTGAATATTTGTCAAGGTCATTCATTTGAACAAACTTGCTAGCCCTTCATACCAGCATGTTAATGTCCAAATATCATCACCCTTGGCCTTTTGCTTATTAAGAAGAAGTCATTCAAAGGTTTTAAACATATTTGACCCCTGTGATCTTGAATATTTGTCAAGGTCATTTATTTGAACAAACTTGGTAGCCCTTCATTCCAGTTTGCTTTTGGCCAAATATCATCACCCTAGGCCTTTTGGTTATTAAGAAGAACTTGTTTTAAGATTTTAAAATATTTGACCCCTGTGACCTTGAATATAAGTCAAGGTCATTTATTTGAACAAACTTGGTAGTCCTTCATCCCAGCATGTAAGTGGCCAAATATCAACACCCTAAGCCTCTTGGTTATTCACGAGAAGTTGTTTTAATGTTTTGAACATATTTGACCCCTGTGACATTGAATATTTATCAAGGTCATTCATTTTAACAAACTTGGTAGTCCTTCATCGTAGAATTTTAATCGCCAAATATCATTATCCTGGCCTCTTGGTTATTCAGACGGACGGACGCCGCACTACGACATTAGCTCACCTGGCCCTTTGGGCCAGGAGAGCTAAAAATTATCCATATAGATGTAGATATAGATAGTTTATGGCTACACATAGATCAAAGCATGGTTTGAATGATGACACAGATAGGAAAATTAGACCTTATATTTTCTTCTCAGGCCACAACAATTTGAAAAATAGTTTTTTCGGGAATTACTGCTCTTAAAACATGAAGTAAAGACAAACTAAAATGTCGGCATTTCCTTAGAAACGATAGTCGGAAGAGATATCATTTCTATACTTAGTTTTTACCATGTCTTGTGATACCATGCTTCTATGCTTTTACTTCCTTTCATTTTTTGATTAGTGCTCTTATTTACGCATTGTATGACTTACTCAATGCTTGTCAAATCATCTTTTAATTTTTGCTATATTAGCATATATTCGGTCAATTTTTAACTCATGCCATATTTACATTTATGTATATACTGAACCATGGTTTCTTAGTTTGTTTTCTGCATGTTGTCTTATATATCCTGTTTTTATACCTTTGTTTGTCGTAATAATAGCTCTACAGAGCTAATGTTTCCATTACAACATATACGACTCTAAATAAAAATTCTTGTATCTTGTATAGGGAACATCTCAAAACCAGACATTTTTTTTTTTTTTTTTTTTTTTAAATCTCAATTGAAAGCTTTTTAACTTGCACTGTCAGCTTTAAATGACTTCTTGCTAAAAATTTAACATTAGCTTTGTAAGTTTGTCATGTTTTGTGTATGTTTTGTGTACATGTGTGTCGCGACTAGGCCACCGTAGAGGAGACCGACAGGACGGTGAGTAGGGGTCAGCCATGTGCAACACCGAGAGAATATGTTTTGTATAATTAGTTCATTTTAACTGTCCAAAAGCCCATATACGTGAATAAGGCACAGAAACAGACTGTGGTAAGAACTGTGTATATTTTTATTTCCGGCTTTTATATGTTATTTCGCCCATTGTACAATAAATATGATGGTCATTTGTTCGGGTGGACTAGGATCACTGATGCGTGAAATTGTTGTTGTGTGTTTATAAAGATGTTGAATGCGTTTGTAGTGAAATATTCCTATATATGTTGGCTATAACTATATTTGAGACTATCCTAATATGTATTTTTATCACATACCTGCTGAATCTTGTTATAATAATACAAGCAATTTTAAGACCATGAAATACAACGTTCTGTATTGCACATGAGCAATACGGAATGTTGTATTTACCTACTAGGCGGAACTATTTTTTATGGGAATCCCCTTGTCATTGCGAACTGAAAAGTTCCCGGTATTTGCAAAGAATATCAAAGTTTATAAAATCTTTGTATAAAACTCTACCAAATACGGAAGGTATGTGATAAAAGCAAGACCACACACTTGTGTTTTTCTAACGAATCATAAAGCACTCATTTATTGCGCGGATGTATATATTCACGAGTGCGCGGAGCGCACAAGTGTGTGGTCTTGCATATATATTGTATGTATTGTATATTCAAAGTAGGTAAATATAAGTATATTTATGTGTTGTTGCATATTATTTTTATAATATTGAACATTATAAAGTTGTACAGCAAAATTGAAACCGCTACAGTTAAAAATGGCGACACAGTGACAATTTAAATGATCAATTTAGTGTCAAAAAAGGTGAAATTTTGGCCTTTTTTGAAGCGCAAGAAATACACATTAATACACATTTTCAAAATGGCCGCCGAATTGGTAATTTTTTAAAATTCTTGTAAAAAAAGATCTACGAACAACAGGCATCTAGTTTTTTGACATATTTTTCAGATGCGTGTTTGCTAATAAACTTGATCATAATTTGTTAAATATTACAAAAACCCATTACACCAGATCAAAACGAGACTTGAACGTGATTGAAACCTCAGAAGAGTACATCCTTAATACAGATTCCACTGTTAGAATAAATACTGATCAAAACCTTTTCTTGGTCTGCTCTCAGAGATTCTAAGTAGGCTTCATCCTGTTCTCGTCTTAATGTCTGGGTGAAATTTCTTTCTTCTCTGAAAAAGTTTAAGTTAAATTAAATACTGTGTTCCCCACAACTGCCTTACCAACAGAATGGTAAAATGCTTCTTAAGTAATTTATTAAGATGATACATGTATACATTCATAGTAAAACCACTTTTCTACAAAAAGATCGCCTAGATGGCATGTACACTTGTGGTGATGCCAGAACATTTTTTCTAATGTTGCTTTCACGTATCTTGGTTTAAACAGTTCAGATAGCACAGAAATATTTTGCAATAAACGAATGCACTAGGACCGAAACAGACTCTGCCTGACCAAAACTAAAATTCTGACTATCTCAAGTTAGTTTGCATTATTTCTGCATAAAACAAGGTGAATTTACAGGTATATTTTAGGATATGTTATAAAAAAAAATGTTTATGTGTGAAGGAAGAATATACTATTCTGGAAATATTGATATTTATTTTCCACAAAACTCTGAAACTGTGCATTTTTAGGTCAGATAGCAGTTAACATTCGTCAAGCATTGGTTCCGAACACAAGGTGACTGTTCGAAATATTTGATGTCAAAATAGTGTAAAAATGATTTAATAAGGATTTATATGCGCTATGGTATGCTTTATAATTTAGCAGTCTTGTTTCTAATTTTGAAATCCAATTTTACATTGATATAAACAGGAGAGATATCCAGAACTATCCTCAAATGAATGTTAAATACTGGTATACAATACCCACCTTTCTGCCCTGGCAGCTATAAGTGAAGTTTCATTATCAGTCATCACTCGCTCCAACTTTTCTGTAAGTTCTTGACCATCTGTAGAAAAGCATTGAAAAACGTTTATACTGTGTCAGAATTTTGTTGTTGTTACAGAAACTGCCTAAACTAAATTTATAAGAAACCTTTGTTTTGTCATCATATCACGTTGTGAAATTGGGGATAAGCAAATTTAAACTAATAAATAATTAAATTCTACTATTTCTCAAAGATGTCCTCAACCTGTAGTTTATTTATGGACAGAGTCATTGGGTAAAGGACATAAGGTAATGGAGAAATTTGTTGACTCATTACTTGGTACATGTTGGTATGTATATACATGTATCAATTTCTTCTGGCAATGTTTTACTTAACGACTTTGTTAGTTTTGTTTGTTTGTTTGCGCTCTTCGTCCTATAAATAACTAGGTATGGTCATTTTATAAGGTCGTGCCATGATTTGGTGGTGGAGGAAAACCAGACTACCTGGAGAAAACCCACCGACCGGTGATCAGTACCTGGCGACTGCCCCACTAAGGCCTCGAACCTGCGACCCAGTGGTGGAGGGCTGATGATCACATAGATGTCGGAAACCTGAACCACTCAGCCCCCCCAACCCCCAGCCCCACTTGTGTCGGAAATGTAAATATAATAACAAACACAATATCTGGGTCCCTTTGGCTTCATAATAAAACCTACTTGACTGTACTTGCTTTACATAAAATATATAACTGAAACTTGTAGTATCCTGGAGTAATGGATTGCTGTACTTACCTACTGGTCCTTCTATTCGTGCTACGACGGTCATCTTGTTCTGTCGTAACACAACTAGAGCTAAGAAGGGGTAGGTGTTTTCTCTCAATGCCCTTGATACTTTAAGGGGAAAAAAAGGTATTTTTAATAGTTATCGCACAACTAGAGCTAAGAAAAGGTAGGCGTCACATTTTTTTTTTAAACACAGTGCCTGGAATATTCAATTATAAAAAGCCATATATGTGTGTTGGGGAAGTATTCAAAATAATTAAAACACTCATTCCAAAAATCGACAATTATTTTTTAATTTGATGGATTTGGCGGCCAATGAAGGCCCCAAACATACATATCCCCGGTAGTCCATTTTAACCTCATACATTTCTTTTAGAACAAAACACCTAGTGCATAGTGATTTCATTAATAACATACAATTGAATACCTGTTTTCATCTTGTCTATGTTATGGCTTCCAAATGTATGATTCTTGTAGAATCAATGTTATTTCACTCAAAATGACTCTGAACTGCTTTGAATATTCTTGTTCTATCAAATAAATCAATTCATTCTACCGGATTCTTACCTCTATAACCTTCAGGACTGTTTGTATTACACGCCCAAAACAACACCCTCCCGTTGATGAAATCTCGAACATCTGGATTTCCTAATGTATTTCTGAAAAATAATAACAAGTTATAAATCTTATTTTTCAAAAAAAATAAAAATGTTTGTATATAGGAGAGTGATCTTTTTAACTTTTAACAGTGCTTCATTGAAAATAGCCAAAAGATGTTTAGGGAAGGCACAAAAAATAGGTTAGGTAAGGTAACCAGAAACCAACTATATGTCTTACTTGGCCTAAGTTATCAGAACGTTGATATTATTGCTGTATAGGATAAGCAGGAAAGAACAAACAGGGCCCAAATTCATGAAACCATTCTCATGCTCAAGCCTGAATTCTGTACTCAAGCCAACTTTCTTGTAACTCACTTATATCAAGCTACATGGTTAAAAAGTGTAAACATTGAAAACAGTATTCAGCTTTATCTCTCCATAGCTCTTCCATATCATTGACAAAATGTGATTTTCTAATTAGTTTATCATTGAAACAAAATATTGGGCTTGAGCACAAAATTTGACTTTGAGCATAAAAATGGTTTCATGAATACAGGCCCCTATATCTGTCGCCACATCTGTGATATCTTGGAAAAAAGAACAAGTTCGTCATCAAAGAGATGCTTATCCGCTGGTACACAATACTTTTGTTTGTTTGTAATAGACCTTAAATCGGTTCCATGGTAAGTGGTGACTTACCTACAAAATGAATGTGTATCCTGGTGGTCATCACCATGGAGATATACCAACAGGAACCGTAACTCTCTCTTGGCATCATTCAGGGCCTGAAACAGGTTTTTTAAAGTAAATTTAAAGTTGTGAATTTAACTTTTAACTGCTCTTTATTTTCATTTCAGATGCTGATGTGTATCATGCACAGACAATTCTACACAATCATCTCCAGCACACATGCTGGCATACACACATAGGGAGATATTAGTCAGGTGGCATAGGACTAGTACTGTAGTTAGTGCCTGATAAGGGCTATTCCATTTAAACATACCCCTACCCCACAGACGGCAAAATAAAGAACTTCTGTGCATGGTCGGTGTGCGCAAAAACATGCTTCTGTACCATATGCTGTTCTGGAGGAAATCATTTCTGTTCATGGTCCATTATTGTCATTGAAATTAAATAAAATCTATGACATGGTTGCACCTTTAAAACTTGAGTTCATCTGGTGAAATCGAGTTTGTTTTGTCTTTTTTCCCCTATTTCAATGTCAGGGAAACATTTATCTCTCAACCAGAAACTCAAGCTGGCAGTCTGTCAATGATTAAAGGGAGATAACTTACTCACTGTAACTAAAATCTGGGTTATTCGAAACATAGACTAGTTATATAATCCTCGTGTTATCAGTTTCCACACACTTAAGAAGCAGCCACGATTTCATACTCATATTAAGATAACTTGAATACACTAGAAAGAAATTCTCCACAGTGGCCCGCATGAACAAATGTTTCCTTTGGTATAAAAAAAAATAATCTTTGATCGTCAAATTAATTATCAAAACAAAGTTTGAAATATTTTCACCTTTTTTATTGATTTTTCAATATGTCAGCTTGAACGAATTCATGTAATTGTAAAAAAAAGTAATTTTATTTCTTTAGTTATACATGTCATAGAATCTGTTATCATTTTTTTGTGCGGTCTTATATCGGTTATTTCTCATTTTATTCTGTTTAAAATTGGTGAAAGTTAGAAGTTCATTGCATAACAAGGTTAACGTTTCATTGCAAACAGTGTTTATCGATATAAGAATGTCTCCTTCGCTCTTCGGCAGTGGACAAAAATTGGCGAGGAGATGTGGCCTCATTTAAATATAACATTTTCATACGTTTGTCAGACTACAAAAAAAGACCGGTTCATGAATGAAATGTATCACTGTTTTTTCAGGTATGGGTTCATTTCGAGCCAGATAACAAGTGTATTAAGCAAAACTGCAAATCTATGATTGCTTTTTATTAATAAGTGATTAATTCTTATGTTTTCTGGATGAACTTCCGGTAATTTTTGAGTCAGTTTACAGACGATGGCCAAACGTCTATAATATCCTCAAGTAGTGTCCAGCAGGTCAAGTAGTAACGAGATATAGCTTGATAAAATGTCTGCGCGGAAATATATAAAGCGCGGAAACTGATGACTAGATGATAACGTGCAGACCGACTTAGGACCAGTTAAATAAAACATTTACAACAGCTAAAATTATACTGTATAGTACTGTAACTTCAACGCAGGGGTGTAAAACTGCACTAGCCCGACGCAACCAGATATTCAGCTTGGGCTAGTGAAATTTAGAGAGGCCTAGTGACTTTTTTAGGATGTCGTAACTAACAAAAATGCTTCTGTTCTATTCTATCACCATGAGGGTAACCATGCAACATTTTTAACCTATAAATTCCTGGTAATTTTCACTACAATATCTATCAGAACACATGGAGTCATTCACGTCGTATTGATGATGCAAGACGTTCTGTTGTCTTTCACATGTGTTATGCATGATGGTAGGCACTATTCACAACCTAAATAGCATTGAAAGTCTATACTTACCACCAAATTGGCCCTCTTTGTTGAAAATAATTCTCTTTTATTTGATTTAAGCATGTGGGGTACAGAATTAAAGTTCTCTCCAAAAGTCGGCAAAACCGCCATGTTTGTTTTTCACGCTTTCCAATGCTGAAACCGGTATCCAGACTGATTTGTTGATTGTTTGAATATATTTTGGTTCAAGTTTTCATAACTTTTACATTCAGTTATTAAATAATATAAATTTCAAGTTTGATTTTTTTAGTTTTTTTTTAAGGAAAACATATTCATCTGTAAATGAGATAAAAATTGTGTGATCATGTTGTCAGCTTGATCCATTTTGTATTTGTCAGGCTAGCAGAATTTTATTTCAGGCTTGGGATTATTAGTGTCTTCTAGCCCCGGGCTGGTATCCTCAAAAACTATTTTTACATCCCTGCTGTAAGGACAAAAAAGTAATACTTGTGTTTCCGTTATCATCCGAGAAAAAATGTTTCCGTTATCATCCGCAGAAAAAATAGGGTAGTAGGTAGGCAGGTAGGCACTTTTTTTTAATTCTGGAAAATATTTTTACTTTGCTTATATATATAGAGCATGAGTTCTAACAATAATAGTGCTTATCACAAAATGCCAATATAAACTTAAGGGTAACATTGGGCACAAAAATCTAGGGGCAACCAGAGACATAGAATTCTATGTCTCTGAGGCAACACAAGATTTTTTTTAGTGAAATTATGTTTTTATCGTGGTCTCTATAATTATCAATATGGATTTAAATTGCTTCTATGGGTGGAAATAAATTGCTTCTACGGGTGGTCCTAAAATCCTGAAATATGCTTCTACGCCATACACCTCCCTTGGAAAAAACGCTTCTGTGAGTGGTCCCCCTATAAAAGTTCCTTCCGGGGGGGGGGGGGGGGGGGGGGGTATATTTTACTGGAATAGCCCTAAGGCAGCTCCTGCAATTTCCTCAAAATTGTATTGATTAATGTATATATGCTAATTGTAGGAGTCAACAATACATAATTACCTGGCTGTAAGAACCCCGGTAGAAGGCTGGATGCTCATCACCATACAATTCATTATATTTGGCTAAAAATCTCTCTACATCACCCACAGGATCCGTTACATCTGAACATAGACAAGACACCATCAACATACAATATACTAATAAAGAATATCATATTTCTTTCAGATCCTTTAAGCAGACACATTTCACAACAGAAATTAGGCCCTTTTCATTCATTTAAAAAAAATAAAAATAAAAATCCAATTAACAAAAACTGAAGTGAATTTCCTTCAGCTATATTGATAAAATTAATTACCGATAATAACTTTAATATGTAAATAGTCTAACAGCCGATTGCTTATCAAAAGTTTGAAATTTTGGATTAACATTTCTTGGAACTTTACAAGTTTTCTAATTGGTTTTATTTTTTTCATAATCATTGGTTTTGTCTTCTGTATTGCCATTGGTTTAAATCCTTGAAAGTGTTAGTTTTCACTGGTGAAAATATTATTTTTTTCATATTTTTCACTGCTATGGAAAATGACAGTACCAATTAATAACTCCCCTTATTTCAATGGTAAAGAATATAACAGGCACTTTGTCTGCATACATATTTTGAGACATCTTAATTTCTTTGTTTTTTAACTTAATAAAAAATTAAGCATTTGGAAGTGTAATTACCAGTAATTAAGGAGAATGGACCATATCATCACTTCGATTTGAAATATGTTTAAACGTGACAATTTTCAACTAAAGATTCCAATGTGCATGATACATGTATGATGTGAAGTGTACCTCACAGCATACACAAAATTATTGGTACATTTGTTTAAAACTTACTTCTTCTGGGGTCTGGACGAATTAAACGAACTACAACACAAGACCACAAACTTAGTCATAACCATAGAAAAGAACAATTATAATGAATAAGAGAATTTCTATTTTGTTCAGCACTTATGAAAATATATGCAATTGTGCACAAGATACAGTACATTTTTCAAGTGATTTTGAAAACTAGTTTTTTTTTTGTGTTACTTTGATCTTATGTGAGAATTCGTGATCATTATAACTAATTTCAGACTTGTTCCTGTAAATTTGATGAACCCATCTCTCTGGTCATTACAAAAAGTTTTAACAAAAACCCTGTCAACTCAATCAGCTACACAAATGATTTAAAGGCTTCATTGTTCTTTTGAACGTGGGTTAAGAAAATTTACAGTCAAATTTACAATTTTTACAAAAGGGTTTGACCCCAAAAAACCTATGATTAATCCTAGTAATATTCAGAATATCCATACTGCATATATAATATTTATTATACTTACAAACAAATTTTAAAATGTCTAAAATACTGGTGTATGCAAATCGAAATGGAAACATCACTACGTAATAGCTCCACTGGAAAAATCCCTGTGGTGGTCGTCGGGCTACTGTGAACACTCTGCAAAAATAATGTATCATGAAGTTATTCAAATAGTTGGAACAGGTCATAACAGTGCTTTCAAGTCATCTTCTAGTTGGGGTGTCACAATACGCCAAGAGTGTATTACGATATATTATACTTCATACCGGGAAACTTTCGCCGCAGTTTAACTTTCGACCTTCTCGCCTTCCGATTTGAGGACGAAGTCCACATGACGGCAAAAGTTTAAAAAAAAATTACGTATACGACGGCACATGTTTTGTCACTTTCGTCTACACTGAGCTTAACCTAGGAATGGTATGTGATGCAATTGGGGCCCAGTGTGTGTAATGCAACCTTATCTATCATAATAAAGGATTGACAATTTGTTTTATTTTTAATTATCTAATATTTCAAAAACACATCATTTAGTTACAAATATTTACATGAATGAAAAGTGTTAGTCAGAGAGGCCGTAACGGGGATTTTCCACTGATGTAGGGCGAATTTAACACTGGGCTAATAAGGACTCTGTCGGTGAAGGACGAAAGTTAAACGGGGCGAAAGTTTCGCGGTATACAGTATATTGCAATACAGAATGAATATTTTGCGATATGTATCCTGATATATTGTCGTAGCAAAGATATGCTCGATTTTATAATAAGTTGTTGTCAGAATGTTATCAACTTAATCATATATAATATGGATCACATAGATTTAAGATTTTTGTCAAACCAACCATCGATTACAAAATTAGAACTAATTCCCACCACTATTAAAAGTTTGTTTTATTCTTATTGGCATATCTGTTAGAATTTGTAGTAATTTGCAAAGTTAAAACACCCAGCAGAATGAGATACATAAAAATAAGCTTTTAAGTAATATCGCTATACAGCAATTTTTCATCTCTGTATTGTGGTACAATACAATATACCCGTGTACTGTGATATAACTGTTTTCCGATAAACTGTGACAGTCCTATCTTCTAGACCCTTGAAACAGTCATAGTATTAAGAACACACACACCATTGACAACGTGTCTACGATTCCCTATGGCCAAGAAAGTTTTACTTACATATTTAGTGCTTGATATCTTAAAATTAAGAAATTGTTGGTACACGTAATTAACAAAGGTAAAACAGAAAACAATTCCCACAGACATTCAAAGTCAATGATAATAATCATGAGAATTTCACAATATATTTCCCATATAAAATACATTTATAGTGTGTTTCTGTTTAAAATGAGCCAAATTTAAATCTGTTCTCAGAGAGAATTGGATCTTGCCAGCAGCCAGTGGCTCACCTCTGGTCTGGAGGTTGCAGGTTCATTGTGGGTTGTCGGGGTTCTGCAGGTGGGGGTGGCTCATTGAATACTGATGGTGCGCCTTCTCTCTCATTGAAAGTGTCTTGTACTGCGACCTGAAATAATTTTATTCATTTCTTTGATTTTATTTATTAGACAATGACTCAAGCACAGCAAATTCCACTTAACCACACTCAGAGATCTTACTGACTTTTTATCAAGCAATATACAATGAAACCTCGATATAACACCCCTTAATTCATTTGCCACCTCTTTTACTGCCAACACATTTCAATGGTCTTTTTTCTGGTTTTCCTAAGAATTCCTTTATACATTTCCCTCATTTTATTGCCAACCACCTTGTAACCGCCATCATATTTCAATGGTCTTTTTTTCTTGTTTCTCAAAAATTCCTTTAAACATAAATTTAAAATTCCCACAATTTATTGCCAACAACCTTTATACCCCCCCCCCCCCCCCCAACATCTTTCAACAGTCTTTTATCTCATTTTTTTTATCGTTCCTTTAAAAATTTCCCTAAATTTATTACCAAACCCCTTTATAATGCCAAAATTTCTCAGAACAAATGGTGGCAGTGTAACAAGGTTTTGCTGTATTTCATTCTTCAACTGGAATTTATCAATCTCAAGTGTAGGTCTGTAACAACTAACAATACACTTGGATCATAATTTAATTTAACACTTGATTATGGTAGTTTGATTAAATTATTTTCCATTTAATTATTTGTCACAAACACAGAAGATGAAAATAAAACGTTTCTTTAAGGTGATAAAATTGTTAACTGGGCTTATTCCGTCTTTTTCGTATTGCAGAGTTGTCTGCTCTTGTGAGCAGGTATTGATTGTTACGTCATTAGTTTGTGTGAGAAAATTACGTCGTTTTTTCAAAAAGTAATGACGTTACTCTCACAAACAAATGACGTAACAAGCAATACCTGCTCACAAGAGCAGATAACTCTGCAAAGAAAAAGACTGAATGTTTATAACATGATTTAACCACATCAAACAAAAAGAAACAAAGAATGGAACACATAACATTAACATTTGTACAGCAATTGCCTCTACAGTCAGTGTGAAAAGCGTTAACGGCATTCAATCGAAAATGCCCTAGGTGCTAGAGAAAAGCAATGTCTAGTATTATCATCGTTCGTTTACCTCAATGTCCCAGTTATGTTGCTGAAGGATCTCCTGACATCGTCTTATCTCTTCAATTCCAGAGAGATCCTGTAACAATCAAATTAAAGCATAATTAAAGAATAGATGAATATAATACAAAATGTATATACTCATTGAAAATGATTATCTTTTCTCCCACAACCACTATAGGTTTTCTCACTCCCGAAAGGCAACTCATTGGATAAACCTGCTAGCTAGGAGTTGATAAATATTTTTGGTTACCCACTTACAAGGGTCCTGGACGCTATTTTATTGGTCAATCTTCTAATAATGACGTCAAGTAACAAAAACGATGTCCCTCAGTTGTAACTAGCACATACAATTATTCAATAAGTAAATCCTTTATCTATCGCTTTTGCCTCTTAGTCAGAGATTAAAATTTTTTTCACTAGACTTAAATTCTCAAAAATCATCTGAATTGATAGAAAAACCGATAGCATTCTACCGGCAAATTTTACTCAAAAGAATGCAGTAATGTAATTTGTTTTCAAGAACATTTTGTTTATTTTATAATTGTTTAGTTGTATCTCATAAAATTAGTCGATTTAGTTAATTATTCATTCACCTCCAGTCGAAGAATATTGATCAAGTAAACACATGCTAAACATGTGAAAGAAACGAGTCTTTTGTGCCTGCCCCCAGAAATTGTGAGCTGAATTATTGCACTTGCCCGAACGTTAAAACTGGTTGTCCTCGGCATTATGCATGAGGATTTTTAGTTATAAGGCCTCTGGAATGAACATTTGTAAACAAGCATACTGAGTATTGCTACATGTCCCCTACTGGCCCCCGCTAGCTATTACACTGTAATGATTTATAAAAATGGTGCCCTTTGGTGTTAATTTGGGAAAATGAATAGTATACAATTATGTTGTAACTGATTTTAATGTAACTTTTTTATTCTACATTACCATCAATCATATGTTAAAAAAAAATCAGAATAAATGAATTTCCATGTAAACAGTATATTATATATATATATATATTACATGCACATCTGACACTTTAAGTTCCGTAATGAACCGATTATATTGATTATGGAATTTGTTATATATATATCGATAACGGAATCGAACAGGACAAATCGATTGATGTTTGATTATTATATATCGATCATCAGTCCATCACTGGCTTCAACTTGTCCAGGATTTTGTATTAATAGTAACGGTGACCTTGACCTCAACTCTACAACCCTGAAACTCAAACTTGTCCTGAGATATTATGGTCCATTGGAATTTTGTGAGGTTTGATCAAAATCCCTCAAGGAATGAAGCCGCTAGAGCGCTGACAAGGATTTTCTAAAAAGAGTAAGGGTGACCTTGACCCGACAACCCTGAAACTCAAACTTGTTTGAGATACTATGGTCCTTTGTAATTGTGTGAAATTTGATTTAAATCCCTCAAGGAATGAAGCTGCTAGAGAGCTGACAAGGATTTTCTAAAAATAGTAATCATTGTGACCTTGACCTTGAACCAACAATCCTAAAACTCAAACTTGTCCGAGATATTATGGTCCTTTGAAATTGTATGAAGTTTGATTCAAATCTCTCAAGGAATGAAGCCGCTAGAGCGCTGACAAGAATTTTTCTTAAAAAAAGTAACAGTGACCTAATTGACCCAACAACCCTGAAACTCGAACTTCTCCGAGATATGATTTATGGTCCTTTGTAATTGTGTGAAGTTTGATCCAAATCCCTCAAGGAATGAAGCTGCTAGAGCACTGACAAGGATTTTCTAAAAATAGTAATAGTGACCTTGACCTGAAACCAACAACCCTAAAACTTGAACTTATTCGAGATATTGTGGTCCTTTGTAATTGTATGAAGTTTGATCAAAATCTCTCAAGGAATGAAGCCGCTAGAGCGCTGACAAATATTGGTGTTACTGTACGTACATAGAGGAAAACTATAGTCCCCCCAGTTTCACCGGTAGGGGACTAATAACAGCACATATATAGGACATTTTCCAGATATAGCCGGAAATATTTACCGGACATTCAGACAGGTTTCTCAAATATTTTGCTGATCCGAGGTAAATTTTTTCGGACATTCCTGATTGTCTGGCGCAAACTGCCAAACAGCATTTCTGTTTATTACTAATAGATTAAAATTTATCCACCACATTTTATTCCATTATGGTGAATGCTTTTCTATTTATCTTATTCATACATAGATATGGCTGGTATGAATCATTGAATACAAAATTATGTTTTGACAGAATTGCACTCATGATCATATGTATTGACTATCGCATTTTGAGGTATCATTTGTATTTTTTCAGTCCTATTTGCTTATGACGACCAATTATTGATCATTGACATTGAACTTCGAGAAATGGTGATGATTGATCAAATCCTCTCAAACACTACTCGACAAGGATGATCATACTTAAATACTGGCAGCCCATATAGTTCACTATTCAATATATATGATCGAATCATAGTCATGCATCATAGCAATGAAGACATATTTAAACTTTTAAAGAACAAAACAACACGGATGAGTTTTAGGTAAACGTTTTTAACTACTTGGAATGCTGAAGAACAGTCTGTTTATAAAATAAATGTAAATATGCTGTCAGAGACAGAATATATTGTAATGAAAAGCATTGATTGTTTACAAGATGATTCACAACAGGTCACTGGACATCGATCGAGTTAATATTTCCTTGTATTTGTTCCTCCCTATTTGAATGACATTACAGTTAATTTCCGCAAATCCTGTTGTAATTTCTATATTCCGATATGACGCATACTATAATGTAGACGTCAGCAGTAAAACAAAATGATTTACATATACTATTGGGAGATAAATAGCCTCCAAACATTTGATGTGTGAGCACAAGTAAACAAATTATTGTTAACGATTTATAAGATGGCATAAAAAGTAAAAATTATATGAGATTTTATATTTTGGAAGTAAAAGAGCGTCCCTTGAACAAACTTGGAACTTGTTGCTCATCTACCATCGGCAACGCTTTAAATATTTATCTCATGACCATGTTTTGTTTAAAAAAAATCATCTTTTAGTTAACTAACTAAACAATTATTAGCAAATGAAGGAAACCTGAAATTGGATAAGTTTCTCCGTCTGCTCAGCAGTCAACTCTACGTTGTCGGCCATGACTGTGGATTAAACGCTGCTTCCGGTCTATACGAAGGAAGGGGCATAACTCTACTAACATCGCCTAATGTATACTCAACGATCTCAGACGTTTATGATTTCGTGATTTTGATATGAAGAAATTACGCATTCACATTGATCGAAAGTTATGAAATTTAGTACTTTCTTTAAAATTAGTTTTTTGATTCTCACAATGTTCTTTCTGCAATGCTACACGTGTACTCTCCCTTGCACACTGGCACATCAAAATCGATATCCTTGGCCCATATATTAATATTCATTAAACTGTTCTCATGCTTATACTCAGATTCTGTGCTCAAGTGATTTTTTTATTCCCGTGATAAAAGTTCACATTTTGTTTATATTTTTTGCAAGAATGTTGGAATGACTAAAAGCTGTATACTGTCAGGGGCGGGTCCAGGTAAGGGCCGTAATGGGCTTTTCAAAAAAAAAATAAAAAAAAATCGTAATATAAAATATACATGCTCCAAGTCAGGAACCGTAACATTAGTGCATTTCACAATTATTTTATGTTTTTTAGCAAAAAAAAAAGGACCAAATTTTGAAAGTTTTGTTTGTGTATTACCAGGGATGTGTATTTACTACACATCCATGGTATTACTATATACCCGCACCATCACCTTTATGCTTATCACTGAATTAATGGTTAAGAAAATCTAGTTTAGTTTAGTTTCAACATATTTTATTGTACAAATATACAAATGGATTGGACAACAAGTTATTTCAACTAAATACAGTCCTCTCCTCAATACATATCGTAAAAATATAATGTGCGCATCTTTTGTGGGAAAGTGAGAAAGATAGGGTGGAGAAGGAAAGGTTGGGGGGGGGATGGAAAAGAAATCGTGTAACCCCCCCACCCTCT